GAATGCAGTGGCCGGATCTCAGCTCACTGCAAGCTCCGCCTCCCGGGTTTACGCCATTCTCCTGCCTCAGCCTCCCAAGTAGCTGGGACTACAGATGCCCGCCACCTCGCCCGGCTAGTTTTTTTGTATTTTTTAGTAGAGACGGAGTTTCACCCTGTTAGCCAGGATGGTCTTGATCTCCTGACCTCGTGATCCGCCCGAAAAAGTGCTGAGATTACAGGCTTGAGCCACCGTGCCCGGCCCTGTATTTTAACCTGAATCAATCTAAGGAAAACAAGAGAAATTCAGATCATGGAATGTTTTCAAGACAACTTGCCTGGCTTCTTTCAAATATTCAGTGTCATGAAAAACAAAGAAAAAGGCAGGTGGATTCTGGACTAAAGGAAGATGACCAAATACAATGCATGGAAAGTGAATGGATCCTAGAGTGGAAAAAAAGGAAAATGAGGAAGAGGGCTATGGTGTGGTACAGAAATTATTTCAGTCTATGTTATTATAATAAGTGAAAAAAGCAAGGTGAAGGCCGGGAGTGGTGGCTCACGCCTGTAATTCCAGCACTTCGGGAGGCTGAAGCGAGCAGATTGCTTGAGCCTAGGAGTTTGAAACCAGCCTGTGCAACATGACGAAACCCCGTAAAACGTCCCAACTAGGACAACTGGGGAAATTTAAGTGCGGACTCTTTGTTAAATAATATTGACTTACTTCCTAAAGATGTGATAAAGGTACTTTGGTTCCGTAGTTAAGACGCTTATTTTTAGGACTGAAGAACAAGATGCCCGTAAATGGTTTAGAAAAACAAAAATCCTAGCAAAATGTTAACAATTGTGAATCTAGGTTAAGGGTCAGCTGTTCATTTTACTAAACTTTCACATTTTCCGAAATAAAACGTTGGGGGAAAAAGTCTTTTTGAGGCAGGCTGGAGTGCAGTGGCCCGATCACAAGTCACTGCAGACTCCAACTCCTGGCTCCCACCTCAGACCCCCCAATAGCTGGGACTACAGGAACTGGCCACCACATCTGGCTAATTTTTTAGATTTTGTGTAGGGATGGAGTCTCGCTTTCTTGCCCCAGCTGGCCTCATACTCGTGGGCTCAAGCGATCCTTCCACCACCTCGGCCTCTCAAAGTGGTGGAACTACAGGCCTGAGCCACCGCGCCTGGCCAAAAAATCAATTTCTAGGGAAAAATGTCAACTCAAAACAAGTAACCTGCAAAGATACCTTCAGCATAGCTGGGGAATGCCCGCATAATTTACGGCAAGGCTCTCCTTGGGAAGAAGCGGTGAAATCGCAGGCAGCACAAAGACCGGCTCTTATCCCTACTTCCGGGTATTGTGGCACAGGAACCCGAGGTTGCCAGAGCGTAAGCCACGTGACCCGAGCAGCTCCTTCTGACTGGAGGAAGAGCCATTGCTCTAATTCGGTGCCGTGAGAAAGCTCGCGCGCAGAGCAGTGGGAGCGGGCGGGACTGAATATTTTCTTTGACCAACCGCTTTCCACGTATCCATCCTCCTGATCCCGTAGCGTCGAATCAAAAGCCGTTAGTAAAGTAGTTACTTCTTTCTC